TTCTAATAATCTAGATCTGTGGTAGCCAATGTCCCCTCCAGATGCGGATACAACTTGCATCAGCCCCAGCCAGCATAACTATTAGCCAGAAATAATTGGAGTCCAACAACATTAGGAAAGCACCAAGGCGGCTACTCCTGATCTAGAGTCTTAAGTGTAAACTTACTTTAGTTAAGTTCTGCACAAATCTACCATCACTTGTACTCAAGTTGCTTCTTCCTTGCAATTTCATTGCCAAGAACTACTCCATAAACCAAGTAGAAATTCTTCTTGTTAGCAACATGAGAGATCATGGCAAAATACCTTTTGATTCCAATAATCAACTTGGCTACAAACCAAAACACTAGTGGGAGCAGCTGACAACATCCCCAGAATGTTTGGAAACCAATTGGATTAATCAGTCCTTGGAGGAAGACATATCTGAATTGATCTCATAGGAGACAACTCCTAGGGGCTGAGGGGTCTTCAGCCCCCCCTCATAAAATATTTGAGGGAGCCAGGCCCCACTCCCAAAATTGATGGGCATTGCCATTCAAATGGTGTGATTGCACTGCGTCATGTGATTGATTATTTCAGGGCAGGGCTCACTTGCCCCCCCTCCAATATTTCAATAGATTGATCTACCAACGCTGTGTGAGTGAAGGACTTTCACGACCTGTGCCCTGACCAAGTTTCAGTTTGTGCATGACAGCTGCAAAACGGAAATGTTGCCTTAAAACCCAGTAGAGTATATGCTTTGTGTCAGGAGCTGGAGTCCAGTGGAGGCCAGCAATTCAAATAAAGCAAAACAGTGCAGGCCTAGTCACCTCAGTAGGTCTTGCCCCCATGTAGGTCTTGCCTAAGTCCCCTCCTCTCCAGGGTTTCCCCCAAGCAATTGGAATTGTGTCTGCATGAAACCTCTACCCTGCTCTTTTCATTTCCCTGTGTGTTCTGGCAGACCAGTGGCGAGGGAAGCTGGTCATAGCAGGACGGGGAGACTTCCTGGACTCTTCAGCAGCCAGCCTCCTCTCTGTCTCCTATTCCCCCTCCTCTACCTCCTCTGAATAAGGACTGCTCTCTGCCCCAGCCTCTTCCTGCTCACTAAACCCTGTTGCCCCTTCAGCTTCTTCCTCCTCCTCCCAGACTGTCCCGTCTTCTCCCTCTGACCACTCGTCGTCATCCCACCACCGATCCACTAGCTCTGAACCTTCTTTCCTTGGTTCCTGCCACTCTTCTGCATCTAGCCAGTCCATGACACTTTGCATGCAAAACATCCCAGGCTCTATCCCAGGTATCTGCAGGAAGGGCTATGGAAAATACTCCTGCCGGAAACCTTGCAGAGCCAATGCCAGCCAGTGGGGATGGTATTGAGCTAAATGGATCAGTAGCCTTGATTTCGGTCTAAAGCAGCTTCCTGTTACTCCTCATCCATGTGACCAGTGTAGGGTATATGTGCCTTGCCAGTGACCAACAGTTGCCGTGGGTGCCATGAAATCCTGAGCTACATCTGACAAGGCAGATTTGATATGGCTGTATCCCCCCACTCCAGCCGCAGCCCTCAACTACCAACAGCCTTCATTCTGTGTTGTGTGTTGCTTCAGGCAACCCATCGATAATGTCTTCCCATGTGAAAATGGAATGCAGAGATGTGAAGGGCGATTTAATCAAGGGAGCGGTTTAAGAGGCAGTTTTGAGAAATGACCGCTTTAAAGGGATATGATAAGCAGCTGTCAGCAGGAGCAGGGCACTGAAGCCACAAGGAATGTGCTGTGTGCTCGCAGCAACCTGGCCAGGAAGAGGTTAATCCGTGGAGTTAAAGCTTACAGGCCTCCTTGTCCTCCCCGCTCCCCTGGCGTTTAATCACGTTGGCGTGATGAAATTTCAGTAATGAAATGTGCCTTTGTGCGATCATTTTGGCATCTGCAATGGAGCGCGGGAGTAGTTTTCTTGGTCCTCTTTTTTAAAAAAAGCTTCTTTGTTTTAATGCTCCCCCCTTCCCCCAGCCCAAGCCTTGCATCTATATCAGATACAATTAAAGGGATAGCGAGGGACTCTAGGCCAGCTCCCACCAGACTGCGAAAGGGAACGTGCAGCCCCTTTGTGTCCAGTGTGGAAGCTGGTGGGTGCCGGATCCTGCTTTTGCTGGGAAGACAGAAGTGGAGTCTTTGGCACTAACTCCTGCCAGTCAGTGACCAAGAGAGCCTGCCACCGCTCTCTTAAGCAGCCTTCCTCGTAGGGAAATCTGGGGACCAGTTGAATTAGGCTGGGAGGTTTTCTTTCTCCAGCTTTGCGTTGGTCTCATGTGCATCACTTTTTTGCACATTCCCCTAATCCAAATCCCAGCTCTGCTTCTGCAAAGGCAGGATTTGAACCTGCACTTTATTCTTAGCTATCTTTCCTAACTTGAAAAAATGGCTTTTCTCCATCGCTCTTTTTGAAATATTTTCTCTGCCTTGGATTTTCCAAGGGCACGTCTTCATGTGCACTTAACCACAAGGCAATTTTCTCTGCTGTTGCTTTTGCCTGCATATCCAGGGAGCAAGAGGGGTAGCCGTGATAGTGTGTTGCTGCAAAAACAGTCTTTGGGATCTTAAAAGACTAATATTTATGTTGGCATAAGCTTTGGGGATGCGTCGGATGAAGTGGGCTCTAGTTCACCACAGTTTATGCCACAATAAATCTGTTATTGTCAGGAAAGTGAAGGATCAAGTGCCCTCTAGAATTAAGCAGTATCCTAATTTCTGTCTCATTTGCCATCTGAAGGCATCTGAATGTGTAGCCATGGCTGGTTACAGACTCTGATTAGTTTCCAGTGCCAGCCAAAGACCACATTTGCCCAGGTAACCTGGCACTTGAGCTGTATTTGATTATTAGATTTTACTGGGTGTTTTAAGTTTGTGAATAATATATTTCCTTAGTGGTTTATTACACAGGTTGCATTTTTTAAATGGTGAAGGAACTCTGCCCTGGGCTTGTTTTTACAAAGAGAAATGGGGTAATGCATACATTACGAGCAGTTCTTCATGTTTCCGCTTGCTGACCTATCCCTTCATAATCCTCTTTCTCCTCTTCACTTTCACCCATGGGTGCAATGGTGGCTACGTGGGCACTTAACTGAGGCAGAGTACCTCCCCTCACTTGATTAGGCAACTTCTGGCACCATGATGGAGGCATGGTCCAAATCGCTTAATTTGGCTGGGCATTTAAAGCATTTGAACTGGAAAGACCCTCTGTAGGCGTGGAGCCAAATATTCCCATTGAAGCCAGTCGGGATAATGTCAGGCCAAATGCATAACCCACTCGCCTACTGCATTTTTGCATGTGCCCACGTGCAGAAAACGGGCAAAGTGTCTGCTCTGTCATGCAAAAACGTGGCATTTCCTAACTCTTTGAAGTGACCTCTGGCTGCGTATCCCCCCCTTCTTACCTTTTGCTACCCTTGGCCTCGCAAAAAGATATTTCAGAGTGAAGAAAGGATGTGTCGTCTGTTCGTCATCTTGAAAGGCTGGCTGTGGAACCATTTTATCTGATGGAGTGGAAAAGCCGGGGAAGCTTCTGTAAATGGTGTTTCTTTCTCCTCCTGACTACTGTGCAGTATGACAGCTCCGAGATCAGAGGGTATCAGTTGCCTTCAAGGGTAGTGCAGAGGCTTGAAACAAAGGAATCATGGTTTGGAGTGGAAATGCCAGTGGTGTGGAGCAAAGGATGGGTTGTTGCTGCCATAAGCAATCTGCTGGAGGTGTGCAGGCAGCGATGGGATGGAGGAGGCAGAACATCCTCTTTTACTTAACCTTTGGCTTTAACTGAGCTATGCATGGTAAGGCCAGGTACTCTGAGTTCTCTCTCTCTGTATGTGTTTCAGTACTACTAGAATGTGATGCTACCCAGTGGAATAGATTAGAAGGAGGCTTACAAAACGAAGTCATGCTTAATGCAATGTGTAACTTACAAATGCATTGAATCAGTTGCAGGTATGGATGGGGGAGATATTCTGCTTAGATCACAATTAAAGATGAGCCTACCTAATTTGTACATCCCAAAGATATAGTCAAACTGAAACACAGCCTGCCTTTGAAATTTGCATTTATCTGAATTTTGCAATGCCATGTGCACAAAAATGCATATATTCATGGAAGCAACATACAGAAATGCTTTAACTTAGAGGACATTGCTTTGCAAAAAAGTGTGTATTAGGTAAAGCTGTATACAAAAACGTGCTTATTCAGGGACAAATTCACACTAAAATACTGGTGAGGACTTTAAAACGAACAGAATGGGGGCCTGATGTGGAAATGTGAAGAACTGAACTTAAGTCAGGAAAAATGAGAAACTGAAATGAATAGTTTTGCCCATGCCTAACTGAGAGGGACCTCAGCGTTTGCTTAGTCAAGTCCCCTGTCACTACATTCCCACAGAAGGTGGGAATGGGTGCTTCTGCCAAAAGATTAGATGCAGACCAGGGCGTGGATCTCATTTGGGATTATCCCTGAAAACTAACTGGGCGGAACTTAAGTCACCCAGCAAAGACAGTTCTTAGTTACCATTTGTGCCCTTTCAACAATGTTTAGGGAAGAAATATGAAACACCATTTTCATATTGCATATGTACTACTGCTATTAGCCGCCTTGAGCACTACAGTCGTACCTTGGAAGTCAAACGGAATCCATTCCGGAAGTCCGTTCGACTTCCAAAACGTTCGGAAACCAAAGCACGGCTTCCGATTGGCTGCAGGAAGCTCTTGAAGCCAATCGGAAGCCACTGAAGCCTCGTCGGACGTTTGGCTTCCAAAAATAGTTCACAAACCGGAACAATCACTTCCGTTCAAGAACTAAGCTGTTCGAAAACCAAGGTACGACTGTACTTGGAGGAAAGGCGAGATTCAGATTTAACATATAAATAAGAAGAAAAAAATGTGTGAGCCAGAAGGGTGTATGTAGGTAGAAATAGTTTCCTTCCACTCCTTTTGGGCGGTGGGGGTGGGGATTGAGATAGAGAAAAGAAGAAACAGAAATTGACACGCATAGCTGAAACCTCTTAAGTTTATTATTCCATACATTTGATGCAAAGTTAATGGTGCTAGAGGGTTGTGGTGCTGGGAACAGGGGAGGATGTGCTACTTCCATAAATAAGGGTGTAGAGCAGTTAATAGATTGCATGCATACAAGGATTACAGGCATACTACATGTTCTTTTCAAACACCATGGAGAAGAGATAATCATCCATAGCAGAAAAATGGAGTCAAGCATATATAAAGCTCATAACTTTTGGGGAGGTTAGCCTCAGTCGTCTCAATCCAAAGGGGCTAGGAACAACAGCAAGTACCACAATGTACATGGTGGCCAGTTGTGGGTCTATCCTCATGCAACTGCACAGTGTCTGGCCTCTCCAGGGTGTGTTTTGGGTACCGTCTTAAGTCACGGCAGCCATCAAAGTGACATGCTCATTCTTTTTTGAAGCTGTGGAATGGGCATGCATCAGGGCCACGGAGAAGAGGAAAATAAAGGCAAAGTTTGATTTAGCTGAGGAGGCTGCCTCCATTTGAAAAACTCAAAAGTGAACATGGGTTCATCTGAATTCTGCACAGCCCTACTTCTTCTTTAACTGCCCATTCCACATCACTTACACCAGCAAGGTCCTCCTTGTTGTGGCAAAGACAGAACTTAGCTCTTAACAATTTTGAACATGTGACAGGGATTGGCCCTGCCAGGAGGCAGGGTGAGGCAGCCTCTGGCACACAGCAGATTTTGGAAAGCGGGAGCAAATGATTGGTGATTTAGTTTATAATGTTTTTGGCAAGCCATGTGCATGCTCTGCCTCAGGCACCAAAACGCCTTGAGCTGTCTTTCATGGGGGAATGAGGATATGTCTGTTCTAGCATTGTGTTCATGTAGAAGTTCTCCCTGCGCATTTGGTCTGTGTTTAAGAAAATAGGAGAACCACACTGACCGTTCCAGGCACTGATATCTTTCTGCTTTCCCTCACCCACTCTGCACACACATGTGCACACACGCATATAGACACACAATCACTCTTGTAAGCCGGAAGGAAAAGTATTGGCTTTGGTAGGGTATCTTCTGGCATGTTAGAAAGGTAGCTGGGGGAGTTTAGAAGGGAGCCACAAAGTGTTGGAAACAAACTAGGAATACAAAATGTTCATAACAACAAAGTTGGATTCAGTCCCATTTGCTTTTTTTACGGTCCAAGGGACCAGCATGTATGCACATGCTTACATGCTGCGATGCAAAGGCGGCCAGAGCATATAATGCAGTTCCTGAGTCCAAAGTACTGTGTAGTTAAGTCTTAAGAGAGCCAGGCAGCAGAGAGGCGATGGAATGGATAAGGGAAAGTGGGCGCAGGTGCCAAATATCAACAGGAAAAGCAAGCATAGGTTGGTCTTCCAATGGGGAGCAACATTTCATGCACGTGCGACTCTGAAGCAGGAATGTCCTAGAGCATGGTCCATATCGGACGGCTGCACCATTCTACTTCTCCATCTGTAACATTACCCCACCAGGGTGCCCACCTAGCCTTCACCCACAGCGAGTGGCAGAATTGCGTCCATTGTGTTTCTTTCTAAACCATCAGGATGATGGGTCTGGACAACTTCAGGGAGGGGGAGAGAAGGGAAGGGATTATCTCTCAATTTTATTTTGTTTTAAACCCTTGGTCTTCTGAACAAAAACAAAAAAACCCGCCATGACTAGTTGCTCCGTGCCTAGAATCGTCCTCATCTAGAAGGCCTACGGGACCTCGGAAGCCAATCAAGGACTGGGATTGTGGGGTGTGGCTGGGAACCTTCCTCCAGCCAGGTGAGCCATCGATAACTGCGGTCAAGATAGACACGCCCGGATATTCTGTGGGTTCTGGCGACTGGATTACACCGAATGACCTCGGGACCCGGAGGCTCGTCTTCTGGGGCTGATTCTCCGGAGCCTTTCCGCTGCTGCTTTGGTCACTGCTCCCCGTTCCCTAGGGTCTCGAGAGGGTCGTATATACAGGCTGCTCCCAGTGTGTGGGGCTATGAGACTGTGGCACTGAAGGTGCCGGGTCAGAGATGGCAGTGTATAGGGGCCGTTGGGAGGGCCCCATATAGGAGAAGGCCGAGTAGAGGCCGGAAGCCTGACTGGAGTGGCCGTAGTAGGGTCCTGAGGGCTGGTGGTCAGGGTAGTCAAACTGAGGCCTGGATATAGAGGGGAAAGCTGAGCCATAGTGGGGCAAACTGAGAGAGGTGTATGCTATCTGTGAAGTGGAGGGCTGGTCAGTGTAATGGGCCCCCGGAGCAGAGCCCTCTGTTTTCACTTGTGCCTTGGAGTCTACCACCGATGATGTGGCAGCAGACAAGGAGACTCCATGCTGCTTGGAGATCCAGGCCGAGTGTCCACTGGCTGCAGCCAGGGCACTCCCAAGGCCATAACCAGCAGCTGTGGCATAGCCTCCGACATGACCTGGGTGAGCAGCATGTCCATTCGGCGGCAGGTACTGGTCAAACTCGTTGACGTCGAAGGGCTCCATGTTGGACATCACTTCGTGGCTGATCTCCCCAATATCCACATTGCCAAAGTCGATGTGTGGCTTTCCTCCTTCCCCAAGGGAACGCCCCTCCCTCTTGGAGTCAGCCTTACCGGACTGCAGTTCTGTCTTTGGAGTGGTCGGTGGTGTGGGAGGTCCATGGCTCTGACCTGTGATATGAAAACCACATAGGAGGAAGCCGAGAGAAGATGTCAGTTACCACCTCGCCGCGGATAAATCAGAGAGAACAACTTCACAGCAGAAGAAGAGAGCAGCTGACCCTTCTCCTCTGCACAGACCTGCTAGAGCAGCTCCCTAGCTTGAAGCCCTCCAAATGTTGTTGAGTTGCAGCTCCCATCACCTTTAATCATTGGCCGTGCTGGCTGGTGTCAATGGGAGCCTAGAGCCCAAAGCACCTGGAAGGCACTAGATCTCAACCTGTGGGTCCAGAGCTCAGGGATGATGGGAGTTGTAGTCCAACAACATCTGTGGACCCACAGGTTGAGAACCTCTGCACTAGATGTAGGAAAGCTGTGCTAGCATCGTTCCTCAGAAACGAGGCAAAAATAAATTGGGAAGCAGCTAATGAAATACAAAATGACAGCTGGGTTAAATATAGCCCTTAGACTTTGGCAATGATGAACCATGAGGGTTTGTTTTTTAAAAAAATAAAAAGTTGCCAAACTCACTTGTGCCTATGCCAGGTCAGAAAAATAGGAACAAAACCAACCATTTGTTTTCATGATGGTACTCTACAGTTAGACAAGGGGTAGCCAAGTGATGCCCCTCAGATGAAGGTGAGACTACAACTCCCATCATCCCTGACCATCGGCCATGCTGGTTGGGGGAAATGGGAGTGGAAGTAAAAAAAAAAATAACACCATGTTGCCTACCCCTGATATTCCCAGCTGCTGATCTTCAGGCTATGTCTGTGGATTAAACTGTATGATGGGACTAACCTGAGGGGTGTTCAGGGTGCCCGTCAGACAGGGGAGAGCCTTCCCCAGGGTGCCTGTGGTCCAAATGGGCGTTCTTGTAATGTGCCTGTATTGCAGCTGCTCCACCAGCTTCTCCCTCGGCCTGGCTGTCATTTTCACCCTGGGCGGCCTTGCCATTTTTCCGCCGGCGCGGCTGGTACTTGTAATCAGGGTGGTCCTTCTTGTGCTGCATTCGCAGCCGCTCCGCCTCCTCAATGAAGGGACGCTTGTCGCTTTCATTCAACAATCTTAAAGAAAGCAGAGGAAGGGGGGTGTTGGGGGAGGACACGCGGAACGAGTTTGTTAAAAGCGGAACCACAAACCCACCAGAAGCCATAGCATTGCCATAGAATTGGAGGAAAGAGGGGCAAATATGTTCTGAAAGTGGATTGCTCCATTGTGACCCCTGTCAACCACACACTCCCTTTCAGAGGTTTTGAAGTGGCAGGGTAAGGCTCTTCGGGCCACTTTATGAACAACCTGCATATCTGATCGGCTCCCCATTTTTGATACATTTCTAGTCTCAACCAATGAGCCATCTGATCCATTTATTTGTAGTAGATTGCGATTCAATCACACCAGCAAAGTTGTTGACCTTAAGCACAGTTTTATTTAGATTTACTAACACGGGCAAAATTTGTTAATTCTCTTCATTTTTTCCTGTGTAGTTTTGAAAGCTGTGCAATTGGGAATGTCCCATTTAATTATCCCAGATATTGTTGCATTAAAAAACCCCACAAAATTCTAGGGTCCTTGTGCTCTGATCTCATTTTCCACTCTCTTTAACAGGCGCTGCTTTATAAGATGCTGTTTTGGGGTGACTAATTAAATACACAGCACAGAGCCTTGAAAACACAGGATGAAAGACACTATAGAACGGTACGGTCACTCCTGTAGCACTTTGAGTTTTCTCCAGTTAGAACAGAATCTCACTGCTCTTCATCTTATTAGTCATGGACTAGACAAAATCCTATACCTCTTTTGCAGGTGCTATCAAGCTTTGACCACAACCTTTTTTCATACTACATCAGGGATGGCTAAATGGTGACCCTGGAGTAAATTTTTTATGGACCCTGGCAACTCTTACCAGATTTTAATCAAGGTGTCGTGTACATGCTTGTTGTCAGTTTCCCTCATAAGAAACAGCATCGAGTGGACCACGTTTCTTATCTTTGTTCCCAAATATGCTTATTTAGCCCATCTAATTTGCTCAAACATAATTTACACAACTTTTGTAGATTCCAGAATTCCAGTTTCGGAGTTGTCTTCTGTTCTGAATATGGTTCCATGGTCATTCTATCTTGCAACACAGATTGACTGTCATTCCCCACCAACCCAAATGCCGTTCTGTGTTCTATAGGAAACAGAAAAGCTCCAGGGTGTGAAAGCTTCTTGGGTGACATTTCCAGTCAAGACAGACCTAGCTGTAATATCTCACATGCAATTTTTTTCATTTATATGCAAGATCTCTAGTTGAAAATTTGAATTAACTTCTGGAGAAAGTATAAAGTGAAGAAGCTTCTGAGGGCCTATGCAAATGCAGAACCAAACTTTCTGCAGAGTCTATTGCTAGAAAGTAAATAAACTCAGGACAAAGAAATAAAAAGGCGGAAAGAGCTAATGGCAGGAATAATGAACACAAAGCAGCCCATAGCAAAAGTAGTGGCAGACTTAAGACTGATTTAGTCAGGCCCTAACAACAACAACAACAACAACAACAACAACAACAACAACAACAACAACATTTCTCACCCGCCCTTCACCATCTTATCTCGGGGCTGGTTACAACAATTTAAAAATACAGTATTAAAAACTGTTAAGGCCATTGGGCAGACTGAGGACGCTGCCTCAGGCAGCAGATGCTGTTGGGTGAGGAGTGGCAGCAAGGTGTTGGGGGAACCTGCCCTGCCTCCCTGAAATGCTTCTGCTATCCAATGAAGCCATAGAGGGTGCTGCCTTGTTCACCAAGGTTGAATTATGACCCAACTGCCAGTCCAGTCCGCTTCTGTACACAATGGTAGGGACACCATTTTGCATTTCACTTCAGCAAGCAAAAGGCCTGGGGCAGCCCTGGATTGAGCTTCTCCTTTTCCCTATTGGGCAGGATGTCCTGCAGTGGTACCTCTAGTGGAGCTGACCTAACTTCACACCAGGCTGAGAGGGTCTCCGCCACATAACTGCATTCCAACCATGGCTTTAATCCAGGAGATTAAAACGATTGAGTCACCCTGAGTTCAACACCAGCTTTCCTGTGTCTCCTTCCCGCCCCTTTTTATCACACACAAATGTCCCCAAGGATCCTAATTCTCTCATCCTGAATTGCTCCCAGCACGGTTATTCAATGAGTCCAAGACTCGATTCCTGATGGTTTCCAAGAAGCAGGAGACTTGGAAATCAAACCCATTTTGAAACCTATTCTGGGTGCTTTAGGTGGATCCACGCCATATTTATTTACTTTATTTATTATTTATTTATTTATTTTAAATTAAATTTCTATACCATCCTTCCTCTGAGGATCACAGGGCAGTTTTCAATGTAAAAATACATGAATACATAACATAGCAACAAACAAAACAATACTTCCCCCAAACAGTTTAAAAAGGTTATAGATCGTTTAATTAGCCAAAGACCTGAGGGGAGAGGGATGTTTTTGCCTGGCACCTTTATATTTAAAGCACACCCAACACACAGTGAAAGCACATGACTTCCCCCAAAGAATCTGGGGAACTGTAGTTCGTTAAGGGCTCTGCAAATTGTAGCTCTGTGAGTAGGAAACCTACAGTTCCCAGGATTCTTTCAGGGAAGTCATAAGTTTTAAATGTACACTGGATGTGCTTTAAATGTATGGTTTGGAACTGCCCAAAGCTCCCAAACAGGTTTCCAGATAGGTTTAATTCCTGGGTCTCCCGCTTCTTGGAGACAGTGAGGAGCTGGGCTTAGACTCGTTGAATAATCGTGCTTGGAACAATTTAGGATAGCATAATTTTTTTTTCTGACACTGGAAGAAGCAAACACTCATTCCAGCAAAGGGTCCAGCCTTTTTTAAACCTGGAAGGTACTAAGTACAACATACACTCCAACATTTCTCCAATGAAATTAGGGATGTCCCATTTCACAATGATAATTTTACTATTGATACCCCACACATCTTACTGGGTTGCCCCAGCCACTCTGGGAAGCTTCCAATCTATATAAAAGCATGACAAAACAATAAACATTAAAAAAACAACCTTCCCTATACAGGATTTTCTTCAGACGGCTTGGGGGTGAGATAACTCCATACCCTCCAACATTTCTCCAGTGAAAATAGGGACATCTTAAGGAAAAGTGGGACATTCTGGCATCAAATCAGAAACCAGGACGGCTTCTCTAAATCAGGGAAGTCCCTGGAAAATAGGGACACTTGGAGGGTCTGAATACAAGCCGGTGGGGAACTGGGTTCCTGCAAGCTTTCCAGAGCTTCCAGCCCTTGCTTATTCTAGTGGACATAGGACGTTGCCTTATAGTCAGTCAGAGTAATGGGCTATCTAGCTGTCTACAGTGCTAGTCTACTGTCTACACTGACAGACAGCTGCTTTCTGGGGTTTCACCCTAACCCTTACCTAGGGATGCTGGGAATGGAAACTGGGATCTTCTGCATGCAAAGCAGATGTTCTACCCTGAGCTACAACCCCCAATGCATGCACAGGGATGGATTTTTCAGTTATGGCACCCACATGTGCCTAACCATATTGCTTCTTCTGAGTTTAGGATGTCATTTCCTTTTACTGTGAAAAATGCATCATGTCCAGTGTTACAGATACATGTTTGTCAGGAGGAAACAAGCCACAGAAACAGTGAACTCCAGATTTGAACTGCAGTGCTCGATAGCAGCCTTGCTCTTGAGATTCCCTGACTGCATTGTGCAACCAAGTCCTCTTTCCGTTCCTCCCACCCCACCCCGTGGCCCAACCCTGCCCTTGTCTTCTCCTGCTATGTCACCTGGCTTCCCTTTGTTCTTCCTGGGGATCAGAACTTCAAATCAGCTTTAGCGAAGGGAAACCGGTATGAGCAGGCAGAGAGGCCAGGAGATTTGTGGGATTTGGATTTCACTCGTTTCCTGCCTTGGCGTCCCCCCTACTTCATGACCTTTCGTGCAATGGAATTTTTGCAGGCACCCAGGAAAGAAAGAAAGAAAGATTGGCATGTAAATGCAATTGGTATTAAGGCAGCTTTAACTGGACCTTCTCCTCCTGCCTCCCCATAGGCAGAATACTTTTTGATGCAGCCAGAGTGGCATCTACACTCCAGTTTTGTGATCACGGAGGGGATCCATTGCCGTGGCTTCTACATTTGTAGTCGTAGCACATGCAACTAGTCTAAATCACTGAGCCTCTTGGACTTGCCAATCAGAAGGTCGGTGGTTCGATTCCCTGCGACGGGGGTGAGCTCCCATTGCTCAGTCCCAGCTCCTGCCAACCTAGCAGTTCAAAAGCACACCAGTGCAAGTAGATAAATAGGTACCACACCGGCGGGAAGGTAAAGGATGTTTCCATGCGCTCTGGCTTCTGTCACGGAGTTTCCATTGCACCAGAAGCGGTTTAGTCATGCTGGCCACATGACCTGGAAAGCTGTCTGTGGACAAACGCTGGCTCCCTCAGCCTGAAAGCGAGATGAGCGCCACAACCCCAGAGTTGATTTTGACTGGACTTAACCGTCCAGGGATCCTTTACCTACTCCCCCCCCACATCACCACCATGCTACAACTCATATCCTCCCTAACTGCTACTGGCTGGAGTTGATGGGAGCTGGGGCCTGACAACATACGGCATACCCTCCAACATTCCTCAGGTGAAAATAGGGACATAGTCTACATCAATGTCATCATTGCTATCCCCCGTGCCTCCTCCTCCTCAGAGGCTAGGGCATGGACTCAGACGCAGTAGCCGAACGAACCAAGCTGGAGCCAAGTGACCATAATGGCTGTTCTTCAGCTCCCGCGGCGCCCCTTGCAGCCATGGCAATGGCCTTGCAGAAGGCCCCACCCCCTTCACTCCCCACTCTCCACTTTCTTTATGGGAGTCTGACCGACTGAGGGGTGGGGAAACGGTGAAAAACTTTCTTGGGGGGCATTCAGGTGACTTGTTTTCATAAAAACAGGAAGTGACGCCATATTGAGCGCATCTAATAAATGTGTTAGAAGGATGCACAGAACTGAACTTCTAGTAACACATTGAAATGCTGTACTGAAGGGAAGGGCCCTTGGGAA